TATGGAGCGAGAGAGGGGAGAAAAATATATATAAAAAAAAGAAACAAACATATATATATATATATATATATATATATATATTCAACCAAAAGCAAGCGAGATCGGATCAACTAATGACAAAGGTTTACGTGCTAAGAATGGAAATGAGGGAATTATTTATTAGGAATCTATGAATAAGTGGTTTGTGTAAGGTTTTATGTGTATGCTAAGAGAAAAGTGTGCTCAGAAAAAAGTGTAGAGACAAAGTGTCTCTTTTTGAGAGAGAGATAAAGAAAAGTGAGGAGAGAGATAGACAATGATGTAAGGAATTTTGGATAAAAAGAGAAAATTTGGTAAGTGTATAATTCTAAAACTGTTAGTGAATTTTTCTCTCTTTTCTGTGGACGTAAGTAAATTTTTCCGGACTATCTAAATCTTTATCTTCTCTATTTTTCGGTTATTTTTGTTTGAGTTTATTTTTATGCTGCGTGTGTGTGGATGTGTGTTTCCTAACAGATTCGACAGTTTTTAGGCATTTAGAATGATGTGTGTAATACATTTGTGATGTGTCTAGTATGCCTTTGAGGCTTAAGGAAGGCTTCCTTCTATAGTTAGGCATGTCCATTACTCCTAGTTTCTTGCTTAAGTAGAAGCTTTCCTTCTATCAATTTGATTACAAGGAAGGATCCTTGTAAAATTCGGATCCTAATTGGTCATAAGGGCTGTGTTGATTGCAATTTGGTAACTCTCTAAAATCTTAGAATGGTAGATTCCACGGAAGATATACGGGTTGTTCTTTTCCATTTTTAAGTTAGGGTGACTTGAATGATGATCTTGAGTTTAGTTTGAGTTATAACTTGAGTTTGTATTTGAATGTGCACATTTGAGTTATGATTTGAATTGAGAATCTATTTGAGTTTGTATTTGAATTGGTAAAAACTTAAATTTGTATTTAGATAGTATTTTAATAAAAACTCAATGTGATGAAAAATTTTAATAAGGTATATGAGTGGGGTTTTATTCGTCTTTTCATTGTGAATTCATATAAAAAAAAAATCATCCCAATCAAAATTAAAACGAAAAAGTTATGACATTTTTAAGAATAGAAAAAATATTGTTCATTAACCTGAGTTCGAGTTTATGAACTTGAGTTAAAGGGGAAACTTGAACTTGAGTTTAGCCTCAAATTCGAGTTCGAACTCGAGTTCAAACTCAAATTTTATAAAAAAAACGTAAACTTGAATTAAATTATAACTCGTATTCAAACTTTTTCTGAATTTTATTGCAAAAGAACAACCCCATATTCTCATAATATTTTGAGTAGTAGTCAACAGATCCGCTCTATCGTACAGTCGTATATATAGTCGATTCCAAGTGCTACAATCGTTCTAGCTGAAGCCTTTCTGATCAGTTGACACGTGGACAATAAAGAATGAGGTATAAAACCGTGCACCAACAATGCTAATTGTTGATAGGTCACCGAGATGATGTCGAGCTTAATTACCTTGTTGGTGACAACTTAACCCGTTCTGTACTAATTTACTCGGTTATTTATTGGATGTTTATTTCATGTATTCGTCTATAAATTTGAATCATAATTTATAATTCTCTGTAGTGTTTTTCTCTCACAAAAAACACACGTAAAATGAGAATAATTCAGAATCGTGATTCTGAATTTATGAACCAAACGTCCATGTTTGGCCTCTATATTGACAACATGTATATGCAAAGGATAAGACGTGGCCAACTTGATTAAGAGATCATTAGAAAAGAAAACGACAGTCAAAATCTTGAGAATCATGAGATTATTTTCTAGAGGATTCCAATACTTGAAATCAACCCAAATGTTTGGATAAGCTCCGCGATTACCTAATGTTTGGATAGTTCCCTGAAGCAAAATATATTATACATATTTCAGATAATTTCTATTAATAAATATAATTCATTTTATTCTATTTATTTCATATTCATTTGTCTTGATTACTTTCATGGTTTGATTGCAAAAAATTAACAAGCAAACAAAAGTGCGAAAACTATTAATATTGAACTTTAAATTATTCAAATAGTGCGCTATATATGGAAGAAGATATGATGTTAAAACTTTTGCAAACAAAAGTAGAAAAACTATTAATATTGAACTTTAAATTATTCAAATAGTGCGCTATATATGGAAGACGATATGATGCTAAAACTTTTGCAAACAAAAGTAGAAAAACTAATAATATTGAACTTTAAATTATTCTTATAGTGCGTTATATTATGGATGAACATAGATAAAACAAAGTTAGGTCCACTTCTACAGAAAGATGATTTATTTTGACCATCAGAGTGGGTTATCGAAGTAGAAACATAAATGTAGATAAGTTTTAATTATATTGGATGGGATCTAAAGTGAAATTTATTATGTCTTAATACCGAGTGAATTTTGAGTGACTAATATGTATTTATAGGTTATGAATTTTGATATGTCAGAGTGAGATTCTTATTGATATGGTCAACCACCTAGGCATTTTGGACATTGATCATAAACTAAAATAACATCATTCATAGATGCCGAATTCGTAGCTCTTTTACAAATTAAGAGCAAATGATACATCTTAAGTAAGTACTGTTCATGATTTGATCAATAACAATATTAGAGATCTCGATCATATTCAACTAAACTTTTAGTGTTATGTTTATTTCACAACTCAAGTTGAGAATTTGAGTTGTATATGTGAGAGAAAAACGTACTGTAATACAAAAGTTAAATTTAAATTTTTTTAAGAGAGAAAACAATATAGTAATAGAATTTAAGTTGTGAAAAGAACAAGTCTTGATCTCTTGACAACATCAACCTATGCTTGCTTGACCTCCGGTCGGCCTCGACAGTTAACTCATGTGTATGCTTAATGTTTTAGTTTTTTCTTTTTTTATTGCTATTTGTATAAATATAAAATCAATAATAAACTTGTTTAAATATCCAACAAATAGATATTCATATGATAAGTTTACCTACTATAAATTTTGAAGGACATAAAATGACTAAGAGTATGGAATTCTAATTTCGCTAGGTAATATTATTATTTTTTATTACATTATTA